TTTTTGTTGAACTTTTGTTGTCATTCTCGCGAGAACGTAGCTTAAACAAGCAATGCATTGTGGGTCCAAAGTTACTGCGGAAAAAATTCTATTGAATGAATGTGCAGTAGTCCGAATTTTCTCTTCGCCCAGGCGTTGTCATTAGAGCTCGCAGTGACGAGCGGCGATCGCTATAAGGGTTATCCCCTTAGATATTGATTTTTTACATATACTTGGTTTGAGAATGCGCAAGGCGCCAGTTGTAATTTCCGTTCTGAAATACAGAGACCTATACAAAAACGTGCTCCTCGACTTGTTATCATTTATCAGTGTATTGGATCTTTGCATATATATAGAAAGCATAACATTGTGAGCATACCTCGGTAGTTAATCCAACACAGAGGACAGGACATTAAGCCTGTATACTTCGAATCTCGGTATCACCAAACAGTCGCACACACATAGGCCTATAACGTTCACCCTTGTTATATCCACTATATTTCACCTCAGCCATAACTTAAACACTGTAATTTAATTGCATTCCATATTCAGAGCACTCTACACACACAAAAAACTCCATAGTTGGTAAAATATAACAGGCAACAGTTTTGAAAGTTCTAGCTGTTGTGTTGACTGTCGTCTGCTCAAAAATGACGTCAAGAAACGACCTTGCCCTTTAACCAATTATTTTCTAACATAAAAAGAAAGTCAGCATTGTGTTTTTAATTTTATCGTTTTTTTCCTGAGTAGTTCTATAATGTCAAATCAGTTCATTAAACAATGTTAATCTGTTAACATATTAAAACTGGACTATATATGTTGTCTATAATGTAGGTCACTGGTATTTTGTCGTCTACAGGGACTTGCGTGAACCATGCGTTTTGGCATATTATCATAATACTTGAAACACTTCTTCATTGAACATTTGTAAAGCAGTAAACAACAAAACAACATTAAAAAAACTTACCTGTCTGAACAAGGGATGATGTAAATTTTTGCATCTACATCCGGCCTAATGTGAATGATGAGTGAGTGCGTCCATAAGCTGTTCTGTACTATATTCGGACTATTGACTCATTTTTCACGATAAAACTCGCTAAAATATTTTTGAATATTATGTGTTTCTCATATTTTTACTAAAAACACGTTGAACTAATTTCTTTCATTTTAAATACATTTTTTTTAATTTTTTCATTTGGAAAGAACGACTACTCCCTTGATAAACTGGTTCCCCGCCCCGTAATCTAGACGATGATGGACGAGTATACCATGTTAAATCCCCGTAGACTTTGAATTTGCCGCCGTGTGTATACACTGGTTGACCCTGAGGGTTCGTATAAAAGCAGAAAGTTTGAAAAAAAATCAATCTACCGATCAGACCTAGGTTGAAGGCCAAGATAATTATTTATTTTGAGATATCTTGCAAAAAGTGGTGACGTTCCGGTTGTGGTACAGATTATAATAGGGACATTATTCAAAACTTCCGACAAGGCAGCCCTAAGTTGATTGAGACCAGCTTGGGCATTTTGAACCCTATCGTCCACGTAGTCCCAAAGATGTTAGATGTGGAAAAGATGGACTTTACGGAAACCAGTCAAGTGAATGAATGTGATAGTTTTCGAAAAAGTCGATAAACCCTGGCAGCATTGAAAAGGGGGTTAACAAGCCGAAAAAAAAGGCAAACGACGCAATCGTGCGCGAGTGAGAGGAACACCAACGTAAAGTTGACGAGCTCACAAACCAAAATCGCGCCATCAATTTCCTTCAGTTTTGGGGTGAATGTAACGACTATCATAGCCTACTGTAATAATAGCAGTTTTAGGGTAATGTGATGGTGATTATACAGGTGGTAGGATGAAAAGCCCGCTCTTGGCATGGCGCTGTTATGCGTCAACGTCATCGTTACGGTTGGTTGGAAACCTTTCTAGGCCCTCTTTGACGACGGATAAGACGTTCTATAGTGGAAATATTCACAACAAACTGCACAGAAACCCGGTGTTGCCTTTGTCCTTACGTAGAGAATGTAATAACCAGACCCCATTGAACTTCCGTCAACCGTACCATGATTGCAAGAATTGCACATCGTCTGTAAATACCGAAAAAAGATGTGTATAACTCAAGTGCAGCAAGTGGTACTAAGAGATGTGTTGAAAAACATGTTCTCATCAATAAGCACGTGTTTTTGGCTTTTTACCACTTTCCCTACGAGATGTCATACATTTCACGGTTGAGTAATTCTGAACACTGATTTTAATGCACAGTAACCAAGATATCCCTTTGACCAGTTTTCATAATTTTCGGTTAAGCAGTACAAAAAAATTTCCATATTATGTTACCCTGCGTTTCTTTTTTCTTTCAGTATATATACCCGAAAGTACAAAGTAAAGGCAAAGCACAGCAAAACGATTACAATATCTCATGCTTTTGGCACAATCAGCAAAGTGTTTTATCTCTTCATTTCTTTGTTTTCTTCAACATTTGAAAGCCTTTCTTGAAATACAATAATTTTATCAAGATATATTTTGTTACTTTGAGAATAAATATCCTTTACCAATCTATTGCAATCTGAACGCAGATCTCGAGGCATCTGATAAATTAATTAAATTAAAGAAATCATGTCGTCATGGTCAACCAATGTTTTGTGTGGAAGGAAAACAAAGGTGACTTAGGGAACCCCAGTTTCCTCAAAACGGTGCCCCCTGTGTATATTCCAGCTCCTTCCAATTTGATTTTAATAAAAGGTTACAGACATACACACTGTATTTGTGATGAAATGCAGTTATATACATAAGAACACCAGAAATATTAAAAATCAAAATGACATCTTGATATTATGTTTATCTGGTACATTCTATAAATCTTGTTTGTTGATTTTTAGAAGTTGAAGTTTCGGGCAGTTGGACACACCCTACCAAAAAATACTATAGTAAACTATAGTTAACTATAGTTTACTATAGTTAACTATAGTTTCAAAGTAAAAACTTTGGAACTTTGATTTACTATAGTAAAAATTTTGGAACTTTGATTTACTATAGTAAAAACTTTGAAACTTTGATTTACTATAGTGAAAACTATGAAACCTTGATTAACTATGGTGAAAACGTAAGAACTTTGATTTACTATAGTAAAAACTTTGAAACTTTGATTAAGTATGGTGAAAACTTTGGAATTTTGATTTACTATAGTAAAAACTTTGGAACTTTGATTTACTATAGTGAAAACTTAAGAACTTTGATTTATTATTGTAAAAACTTTGGAACTTTGATTAACTATAGTGAAAACTTAAGAACTTTGATTTATTATTGTAAAAACTTTGGAACTTTGATTAACTATGGTGAAAACTTTGGAACTTTGATTTACTATGGTAAAAACTTTGGAACTTTGATTTACTATAGTGAAAACTTTGGAACTTTGATTAGCTATGGTGAAAACTTTGGAACTTTGATTAACTATAGTGAAAACTTTGGAACTTTGATTTACTATAATTAACTATAGTAAACTATAGTTTACTATAGTATTTTTTTTGTTAGGGTTAATTGCATCGGCTAATTGACAGATGACTTGTTTGTATCGTACCCTGCTAGTCTTTTCTATTCTACCTGCTTTGGATGCGTCTTATTATACAGTGACCTCCAATGTTTCTTTCTGTATCACTTATTAAGCTTTTATACATTGTTATATGATTTATAAGGTGTTTAATTGATCGTTTTACATCCCGTTAGAGAATTTCTCTCTCATGTAAAGACATTACCAGCTTAGGGCGAAGTACCACATCTCTTGATTAATGCGTGGCGCTTTGGGGAGGCATTTTATCCTGCAAACGTTTTAAATGACCAAAAATATTTGTTTCTCTGGAAGATCCTTTGTACTTCAAATTCCGGCTGCTTATCCAAAGAACTATATAAACGTCTTAAATTGATGTGGCGCCAGAAAAGCGAATAAAACCAAATCTCCTGATTAGATCCTGAACGCATAAATTCCTATAGAAACACTGTATTTCCAACATTCAGATCAAGAACGGCAGAGTTACAGTGTTACAGAGCCATAAGCGCCTGGGCATAAAGGGAATTGACGTAAATGTAGTTATGTTAGAGCTCCACCCATTCTGCTTTGTCTTGTTAGGTCAGGCCGTGGTAATGAAAGGCAAATATACCTGCTACAGTGGCCGTGAAATCTCCATAGTTCGTGTTATGATTTAGTCTATGATCGAGAAAGACTCTATCAAAGCTCCAACAAAGATGATCTTGGATCGAGGATCTTGCTTGGAGGAATCAGATGAAACCTAGTTATTAGATAGTCCGACGGAGAAAGCTATTTCCTACTGTGTGTCAAAGCCTAGGTTGAAGGATGAAAACATTTCGATACATTAATTTTAGATCAAAATATTTTCACAAATTGTTTGATATTCAAATCATATTGATCACCTGAAGGGTACATAATCGTTTTCCTATATAGTTCAGCTTTGAATAAACAAATCAAAGAAGACTGCATTAAAATTTAACTTGGGAAAAATAATAATATTCGGCAAACAAAATAAAAGTCCAAATTGATTACCTATTTACTTTGTTCACATCTAAAAAAAAAAAATATTTGACTTCGGAAAACTCTATGACCTGGCAAAATTGATTCAGAAAAGACATCTCTTTTATAAAATTTAACTTTCAGCCGTAGGGTATGTTGGTTCATTAAACTCGAAAAATAAGCGACTTATTCTAGGTTTGTCACTGCGCTATACTTATGAAGGAACACCAATGCAACTTCATTTTGTTTAGTATGAAACTATTTCTGGGCTTAGGCATCATGGTTTCATGGCTAAAAATCAGACAGCTGTTAGTTTTTAGTTAACCTTGATCGTTGTGAAAACTGTTGTTGACCAGTAATTTGTAATTAAACATGTAAACACAATTTGTAGCAAAGGTTAAGTTCACTGTATGACTTTAAAGCCCTAAATAAACATTAAAAAGACACGTTGCTTGTGAATACAAAGTAAACACAATTAAGAAACAAAGTTTAATTTATGTTTATCCAACAACAGGGTGAGTACTAGAAATTGGCGATAGGAGATAACCAGAAAATGTACTGTAGACTTCATCTCCACCTCCGTAAAGGTAGGTATCATGATGCTTAATATCAAGGTACACTGTATCCCCGGCAACCAATTCCAGAACGGCCGAGTTACTTCCGGGTCCATAACTTCCTGAGGTATGGGAATACAGAGAGTTGACGTAGATGTAGTTATGATAAAGCTCCATCCACACTTCCTGTCCTTTCTGGCCCAGTGCGTGGTAGTGGAAGGCATAGATACCGCCGACTGAGGCAGTGAAGGTACCTGTATTGATGTTGAAATTCTGACCAAGGTTGATGAAAACTCGGTCAAAAACTACCCTGGGACCATTGGTTGAGTCTTCGTTATGGGTAAGACCAACGGAGAAAGCAATTTCCTGTTGATTGCCGTGGCCTGCACCTGAAAACACCAGACATGTTAAAAAAAATGCTTAGACGCTTCATATATTTCATTCGTAGTAAAATTACAGTTCGTTATCAATTCATTTGCATAACAATGTCCCTTGATATGTCTTGGAAAAAAGATATAACAATTACAATGACAAAAGTACTAATTTTGTAGATATTATATTCGATTTTCACACATCATTTAACGTACCACTCCCATGAACAGTTGGCGACAAAAGTGCTCCGCAGAATGTGGTATAGTATTCATCAGAGTCTCCATAGAGCTTTACATCGGTCCCCGGCCTGGCCTTGACATTGATAGTGTCTCCTTTCTTGAGGTGAAGGACGACCGAGTTTCCAGCGTCGGCATACGATCCTACTGTGTATCCATAAGAGGCTACAACGTATTGACCGTTGTGGAACAACTCAAGCCAGGCTTCCTGCAAAACAAAATAGTTATTTTTTTTTTCTTATAGAATATCTATTTTATGAGGGTCTTCGGCTCAGGTGAGCTAAGAACTACTAAAAGTCTAGAGAATATAAGCGTTCAATATTTTGGTGTTTTATTGAACACTGGGTTCGAATACGAATACGAGTGTGTCCCAAAACGTTCAATATTGAACACCCTGACGTAAACAAAACATATCGTCTGGTCAATCGTTTAAATGCAATATTTATGATAGGCAGTGGCAGCTAGGTTAGATGTGTCTATTTTCACACAAAATTGAAATTAATGATTAATAATTTAGTACTCATAAAACTCAATACAAAAAACCTAAATAAGCAAATCATAATGCTTCGTAGAGTCATTGTAATGATGTGATGTTGAACACTCACAAGACAGACGTTGATATTGCACAGTTTTTATTTAAATACCGATACTGAAAAAAATCTCACACTATTTTTGATTTAAATAATTAGTATAAATTAATGCAAAATTGTTTTAGCTATATAATGAAGGAGTATTGTATTTATATCTGTGAATACAGGCAATCGTTGGCTGTACAAATGCACTCGCAAGCTCGTGCATTTGTATAGCCACCTCGTGCCAATATTCATCAGTATAAATTTAATAACCCTATAGCATTCAAGATACACACGTTACGTTAAATCCATTATTAAATTTCAATTGCAAAAAGGAGTTGAATGATCTGTTTTTAGAAATATCAAGTCAAATCAACGTTTGTGATGTCATCACTTTGGTTATTTTACAGATTATTGTTTCCATTTTAAGAAAAATCAAGTCAATATGATTTTTTCAGAATCTTTAAATAGAGGAACATGTCGATATTCTATTATATATTTGAACATTTGATCAAGTTAAAAACTGTTAGAGAGCTGGCAACAATAAAGAAAGATAATATTGCTGAATAAATCACGAATCCTTTTCAACGCACTATATGTGTGTAACCTCAAAACAAAGAATTTTCCTTCCTGGGCTTTGTTTTAAAATATTAGTAAAGAATGTTACTCTTGAAGGAAAAATAATTTGGAGTAATGACCTCATCAGAGTGAGAGAGTGAGTGGAAATGGAACAGGTACGCTCCTTCAACAGGTGCTGTGAAGGTCCCAGTGGCAGGGTCATAGGCGTTACCCATGTTAGTTATGGCTTTGTCGTAAATGACTGCAGATCCGTCACTGATAGAGGCGTTCATTGTCATGACTCCAGAGAATCCAATGGCACCGTAGGAGTTAACAGCGTCCAGTTCTAGAATATAAACCCACTGCAGTATTCATACCCAATGTATGATCTCGTAGAACAACCCAATGTACGAATTAAACTATCAGACATATTAAATATGTACATAGTATCTATGTATATACTATATATGTATACATATGAATATTAAGAGAATATTTCATGTTTTGTACTGGGACAGGACTTTATTTCATTAGTGGTTTTCTTTTAAATGTATGTTCAAGAGTGTCGAGTAAAAATTATCAAACTCTATCTCTATCACGAATGAAATGAATTGCATATTCAGCTACAAACATTAAAATTTCTGTTTATTTTATTTTATTTTTTTTTTTGGTTTCTGTTTGCCCTGTCTGTTCCTAAAGCAGTGTCGTACATTGTGAACAGCTATTAGACATCATAGCTAAGCCATTGTGAGGTTGAAAAATTGTCAAAATTGTAAAAAAAAAAAAAAAAAAAAAAAAAAAAAAAAAAGACAATGAACGGGATATAAACGAGAAAACAAATTCTTGTTTGCATCGCATTTAAGACGCATTAAAGACTATGCATTATTTTTTCGTCAAATTCCTGAAATGGCAATGAACTACTTAACACTTCTTTTTTTCGTCAAATTTCTGAAATGGCAATGAACTTCTAAACACTTCTTTTTTGATATGCCGTCTTTACAAATGCTTTTTTGGTAAAATAATGTTAATCGTGTTATATAAGCAAATGAGTTTGATTGTCCCGTGAACAAGAGAGTTCCTATACTAATTGATCACCTATCGTGCAATTAATAAGATCCAGATATTACTTGTTTTGCTTTTAAAAATGGGACATACCAACATTATCTGCATACAGGAGTTCTCCAGTGAATGTTGTGTAAATCTGATCTCCTTGACCATATAGTGTTTGATCATAGTCATCATGAGCCTTTAAGTAAACTTTGTCGCCAACGTTTAAATGTAAGATGGCGGCATTTCCTGCATCGGCATAATCAGCATATGTATAACCATAAACTGCAAATGAAAGACATTCATAACATCTCTGAATAACAGTAAAAACAATTTTATTGTTCCTAACTTCAGTTAAAATTAAAAACTATAAACTGAGGAAAACATAGCCCGTTTGAGTAAAGTGAAATAGATGAAAATAATAAACAGTGATCGTGATCAATATCAAAACAAACAAACAAACGAAAGAAAACAAAATATAACCCTACAAACAATATTAATCTATAAACAGGGCCTAAAGAATGGATCTCTGGAAATTCCAGAAGTGGGATTTAATATGATATTGCTTCTGCACACAGTTTCAGCATTTATTCTTTTTTTTTTTTTTATATCTTACTCGATGCAATCAATTCATCATTTTTCATCATTTCAAGCCAGAGCTCCCAGTTCTGTTCAGTGAGACCATAAAATGTGAAAGCATACAGCCCGGGTGTTTGGCAAATAAACGATCCGTTGACACCAAAATTGGCTCCGATTTCTGTGATTCTCTTGTTGAAGGGGATGATTTCACCTTTCATTAAGTGGAGATTTGTTGTTTGACCCTTTGTAAAGGCTGTAGGAGTCTGGAAGGTACCGGGATCCTGGCTCTGTACCACTGTAACATCCAAGTTAGCAAACAATACCAATCAAAAGCATATGATAGAGGACTATCAACAGATGTAAAGCAGATTATTTTCTTTATCGACTTTTGTGTTATTAAGACTCTGAGAGAGAATAAAACTTATAGATAACTGTTTCTTTAAGAGATAGTTACCGGTTGGTACCATAATAAGTAATAAGTTAATCCACCTCGCAATCATCCTGTTTCCTAGAAAGAACAAAACAAGTGAAAAGCGAGTTAAACGTCAGTGATGAACGTACAATTTGTACATTTGTACGGCAAGATATACGCTGATAAGAGTAAGTATATTTACTTGAGCATTGAGAGCAAATTTTGAAAAGAAGTTCAAGAACTACGCGGACTTGTTGCATAGAAAAATATTTGACGACATAAACAAGAAAAATGTCATACATAATATAAAGGAATCTTTACTTTTATGGTCCTCAAAATTCTATATCAATATGTTGTCAATTGAGATCAATTTTGGGCGATTTAACAGGACATATCACGAAGTCACGGTGCAGTAAAATCTTCGACGTCACGGGCATAACAATAATGTGAGATTTCATTTTCTCGCATAATCACCGGTGTAAGATTGACTTGTCCGGTGTGAGACAGCAGTGTGAGATTTTTCTGTCTTACACTGTGTATTACTACGCCGCGAACGATAACGTAAACATTCCGTCTTTATATAAAGAAATTGTAACAATGTTAAAAAATATTACATATACTTAAAATGTTGTCATTTAACTTATTAAGATAAACTTATTTTCATTCAAAATATTGTCGTATTTTCACTTTTTAAATGGCACTATTTTTAGATCGCGGAAGGATTCTTCTTGAATGAATGTGTACGCTATCGGATGGATAAGTTTTTTATTCCCAGTTTTTATCTATCTAATTAATTTACATGGACTGAAATTCATTTTATCAGTTTACACTATGTGTAAACCATTTTCAGGTACGCTCTCTCTGATGGTGTATTTAGAATTTTAATTAGATGGAAAATTAAAAGAATATATTTTTAGCCCTATCATGGCGATGTCATTGACAGGCCGTTATTTTGGATAAAATAATGCGAGAAAAATAATCATTCATTACTCACTCGTGTGGGAATAGTGAAATTCCACCTCGGGGCCAAGATTCACGATCTAGGACTCGGCAAAGCCTCGTCCTAGACCGTGAATCTTGTCCCCTTGGTGGAATTTCACTATCCCACACTCGTAGTAATGAATGATTCTATTATTCTCAACATTTTCCTTCAGTTTGGTAGTGTGTAGTTTGGGGTACCTTATCCACTCAGCATAAACATCCATATACCATTTCTGGTCAAGCTTAAAATGTATAGATATAGTATAGTATATTCTTTCTTGTTTTAAACCCCAAAACTGCCGAGATTTCTGAAATGTTGTGTGACGTTGGTCACTCTCAATCACGTTATTAACAGTTCAAATAAAGTTTTCTTCGCTGATCTTCCTCCCGTCCCCTCTCGGATTACCTTTTACTGAGGTCTAACCGTTTAAAATTCCACTTTACCATATGTCGGGAATACCCCTGTTTACAACATGTTTCATCAAACATACTTTGGTTCTATGTTGGCGTTATCTCGAACATTACATATTGAAATATTATTGTCAAATAATATGTTTTATGTCATCATTGTATCAAACAATTTATTTTTAATCTAGTATCTATTTTTGGAACTCGGTTTTTATAGTTATTTTTAGCCTAAGGGTCCATTATGTAGCTATTTATAAATTATTGGTTCTCGTACCCAATTGATATCCAATGAAATTTCAGCATAATGATCACGTGGGATGTCACTTTTGTTTTACCCTGTATTGAGAAGGATGTTTTTATGTACACAAGCAGATTAATTGTTTGTAAAGTTAAAGTCTGGCCGTGAACTTAAGATACATTGAGAAGTAATGTAAGCGGGAGGATTTGTTCTTGACAAAATTGCGGTATCACAAAAAAGTAAGTGTACGGATTAACGCACATTAGATATTTTACTTATGGGATAATATTTTTGCGGTTGTTTTCATAGGAATCTCATCGGAGAAAAATCACTATATTTCGTTTTTACTTCAAATACATGTATTACTTCAAAAAATCTAAATACATAAAGACAGAACAATAAAAAGATACCTTTGAGAATATTATGGAATAATATAGCAAATTAGAAAATAAATGAGTTAAATTTTGGTTCCGCACGTTTTTTTTCAAAATTTTAATCGTGCTGCGTACACCTCCATCAGCGATTTCAAAACAGCAATAATTTTAGAAAAAATTAATTAAAATCCAAAATTTTTACCAAATTTATTTGAATCTTTAAGAAATATGTTTCTTTGAATTTTTTTTTTTTGACGTCTGCAAGAGTAAATAATAGTAGAGTCAGTGTAATTTTTGAACGGTCCTCGTATGTTATGTAGTATTATCTATAAACCAAATATAGAGGATTAGTTAACCACAAAGATAACTTTTTTTTATCTGTTTTATGTACGCATGAAAAAAACGAAATTTTATTTTTTTTTTAAATATATCAATGTAGATAATAACAGATGAATAATTTGACTTAATTCCATCTTCTCCTTTTTATATTCATCAATCCCCAACTTTTATATACATTTATATTCATATTTTTGCGACGCGTAATTCCTACCACTCTGTAATTCTTACACTGCAGACCCATGTAATGTCAAGTTGATGAACTGTAATCATGACGTTAAGTTCAATTTAGCAATACAAATTGAGGGCAAAGAAAACTGAAAACTGTTTGGATCATGTTCCATGGAGGAATAAGTATACCCTTTTGTACGGTCACATCCTCTTTGATTCCCTTGTCATGATCGCATAAACGAATTAATCTATAGACAACTCAATGTAAAAAATATACATTTCCCAAAAATTTGTATTTAAAACGTCAGTAATTATTCTATTTAATGACAGATTGTTTTTGCAAGCAAGATCAATGTATGGATCAAAGTATTTTGTCTGCTGAAACTTGTATCATCAACTTATTTGTCAGTAGCCGGCATCGTTTCAGAAATCGTTCTACGTCGAATATCCTCATGTGTTTGAAATCAACTCGGATATATAAACACCAAAGTGATGTGATAAATGGATATTGCTACATAAATAAGGGAAGTTGATGACAGAAAAATTGAAGTCATTACGTTAATAAGTATAGTAAAGAGCATGTCTTCTTAATCTTTATATTTCTTAATGGTCATAAAACATTAAATTAATTATATCATCTTCATATAAACCTTCAGATATAAATTTTGGTACGTTTGCATTTATTCCCTATATACAATATTTTCAATTTTCTTGACAACTATAAGACTAGTGCATTCAAAAAGTGTGTCAGTCTTATCAGCGTTCGAAATTGAATTCCCTTGTTATATCTTAATGTGAATAGACGTGTCGTATGATTGAACATCAAATCTTTAAAATAGTGATCTCAAATTGACAGATTTTTTATTATACTTTAAAAAAAAAATAAATATATGGTTTCCATGCTTTTTTGCGAGTTTTTCTTCAATACAAGCTAGTAGTATGTTTTCTTTCTATAAATATTTGACAATATTTTTTTTTTAATGTTTCGTTCAATGAATGTCTACAGATCCATAGATATATATTTATGTCATAAACAAGATAAAATAGAAATAAAATAACTTCACTTTGATTATTTTTGCTAGATAACTGGTGTTTTATCCTGACCCTTTAACTCAGTGAAAAAAGAATATATTCCTAAAATTTGTACATTGATATAGACGATGTGGCGTTACTTACCCAAAGTACGTCTTCTCGTGAGTGTCTACTGAATTGATAAGACGTTATATAATTAAAACTGTGTCACCTTGCCTGTATCTATATAATTCTCTTACAGCATAAAAACTGTAAAGAGAAGGGGTGTGTAAACTTTGCTTTCATTTTTATTCAAAATGCTATGGGGAAAAATAAACACAATTACACATATTTCATATCTAGCAAAATATATTTTTTTTAAAGTAAAAATAATAAAGATCAATACCAGCACTTCCCTTTGAATTTGTATAGTGCTAGAATTTGATCCCTGAGATAGAATTTTCTTGTATTATTAGGTCAGACTAAATCGCTGTTATAGTCAATCACGGAGAGATAAAATGAAATGAATATATGTCATTATTAAGTATAATGGATAAAAACGGAATTTGTGTTTAATAATTTAGAATAAACATTTGCTCTCTAAACAATTAAACACTATCGAGTTATTTATTTTACTTAAAAAATCCCCCACTTTGAACCCCAAAGAAACAATGACCCATTCATTTATCAAACTTTGCAGTAATACAATAGCACCAATATATCCAATAGTGACCTAATACAATAGCCAAACCGAACAACCCTTTTATTCAAGAACTAGTGAGCATGAAGCTGGTGCTCATGTAATTTGAAGCCTTTTCATTCTACTGATCAGTCATGGAATTAGATTATTTTTTTACCCGAAGAAAAATGAAAAAGCTTCAAGAAGGAAGTATCAGAATTTTGACATATAGAGATTAGAATTTAGCATTACATATCAGATGATGATTTGTTGAGGAAACGTGATAGAAATTTTACTGACTTCCGGTCGAAAAATATTTCTAATACTGTCTAACAGAACAAACTATATATTGAACCTGAAAGCATTTCCAAATCAAAGATCAAAGATCAAAGATTTGCAAGAAAATTCGAGTCAAAATGTAGATGGACTGTCATTTTATTGAATTGATTAGGGAATTAGACTGAAACAGTGAGGGAATAGGGCTAACATTCGAATTATTTGAGAGAAATGTTGACAATGGAGACTGAAATACAGGATCGAGCAAGGAGAGATGTACTCTGAATTTGAATAAATTAATGTGAAAAATTTATAAGTGATATGCGTGATTCTAAATCTATCGAAATTCAAAACGAGAAACATTTCAGTTGAAATACTATTGGATACGTTTTAGATTTTCATATTGCGCAAAATCCAGAGAAATTATTATTTTTCGTAAACATTGGAAATGCATTTTTAACATGAATCAAATGGTGTAAAATATTTGGAGAAAGTATTGAGTATGTGTGTGTGTCTCTCTCTCTCACTCTGTGTGTGTGTGGGGGGGGGGGTGCATAGGAAATACATGCTTTAACAACTTGCCACTTTTTTTCATAACATATTGTAAGTTTCATGCACAGTTGGAAAGGATAGTATACAATTATGGACTCTTTCGATGGTGAATATGGTTTGTTATTCACCAGAAAAATATCAATCTTGACCGAGGCGAAGCCGAGGTCAATATTGATATTTTTCTGGTGAATAACAAACCATATTCACCATCGAAAGAGTCCATAATTGTTTTATTATATAGTCAGGGTTTAATAAATAAGACATTGAAGGCCGCCTAACGATTCCATTTTCATTAACGAACTTCTGTCGTAAAAACATAACAAATGTCCAGATCACAACCTATTACTTCCGTATTTTCTTTTCGTCGTGTGTAAGACATCGAAATGTTAAGAAAATAATCCTGTGATAGACTTGCGAGATAATTTTTCCTGCTCATATATGCAGCTAGCTCCGGCCGTTGCAACCATTGTTTACAACGTTGTTGAGGTATTGATTGTGACGTCACAATGACACTGCACGCGCACTGACCCTCCGGTGAATCCGACTTCAAATCCGGTGAATATGTAGTGTTATGAACTGTTTGCGTTTGTATAGATTGTATTGGGGATATTTATAGACTATATAATAATAATATTTATTACATTATCATTAGTGAAATACTGTGATTTATTTATTGAATAAAAGTGATATTCTGTCATAGTTTGAAAGGATATCAAAATGATATAAAAGGATATCAAAGTAAGTAAAAAATAATTTCTGGCCTGTCATAAGATAGAGATTGTAACTAAACTATCTTGATGGAGACTAAAACTGCCAATTTCTTCCCAATTATGTTGCTAAAATCCATGTTACAATGTTTTCAATCTCAAAATTGCTAAGCTATGACGTCTGAACTGCTCAACTATGACATCACAACCTATGACACTGTGCTAAGAAAAGACAGAGACAAAGGGAAACCATTGAAAATGTAATAAAGAGAAAATTCAGTGTTTTGTAGTTGGATATGGAATTTATTTCACTCGTAAAGCAGGATTTGTTGATATTTTCACTCGTGTTTTGCACTCGTGAAGATATCAAAAAATCCTGTTCCACTCGGGAAATAAATTTCATATCCAACTACAGTTATTGAATATCCTCTAAATATCCATCAGGTGGGCAGTTGGATTTTTATACCATATAAACAGAAATTTTAGCGAGGAATCAATTTTGGTATTTTAGCGTGGGTTTGAGATTGCTTAAATTAAATATCACTAACAATTTATTCCGCATCAGAGGTTACCGTTATCTTTGTATGCACCAAAAATGGCTAAAATTATTTCTCTCTAAAATAAAATACTATTTTTTAGGACAAATCGCTAAATTTGCATCTCTCTAAAAATTCCATTTATACGATATATCCATGAAACTAGTGATGATTAAATAGTAAACAATGCAAATTGTGAGCAAATCAAACACGGACATCTGAAAACAGAGGTTGGATCAGGTGCCATGGAGGAGTGAGCATCCCCTGTCGACCTGTCACACCTCCATGTGCCCATGATCATGATCGAGTAAACGAGGAATCCAAGACAATGCGTCTTAAAAATGATGGCCTATTTTTTTTTTTTTTTTTTTTTTTTTTTTTTTTTTGAAGACATTTCTCAACATTCGACCTAACGATTGATTGTATTTGCAATTATGGACATTGTATCGACCATAAATTTTACAATATGTTGACTTTAAAGGGTATCGTTGGTATCCTTGTATCATCAGCTCATCTGTTATTAGTTTTAAATTGTTCGTACGTAGAGCATGCTGTTGCGTATAGAATCAACTGGAAAGAAAGTAACACAGTTTTGTTAAACCTTGATTTCTTTAACATTTTTTGTATTTAAAAGTAGCGTAACAAACCTGTCAATAATAAAAAGTTTATCCATAGTTTGAGTTGCTATGTATAAACAAGTTAACATCGTTAATATAAATATTCATTCGGGAATTAGGTATATATATCACAATAATATAAAATAAAACACACTACATTTCATTTTTATTCGTAGTTGTATAACAAATGGGACGTCTATCCAACAACAGGGTGATGACTGGCAGTAGGCGACAAGAGGTAACCAGAAAAGGTACTGTAGACTTCATCTCCACCTCCATAAAGAAAAGAGTCATGATGCTGAATATCCAGGAAAACCGTGTCCCCGGCAACCAGTTCAAGAGTTGCAGAGTTACCTCCCGGTCCATAACTTCCGGAAGTGTGTCCATAGAGTGAGTTGATGTACTTATAGTTATGGTAAAGCTCTACCCAAGCTTCCTTTCCTTGTTGGGCCAATACGTGATAATGGAAGGCATAAATACCACTTATTGGAGCAGTAAAGACACCGGTGTTGACGTTGAAGCCTTGTCCAAAGTTGACGAAAACTCTGTCAAAAACCACTTTAGGACCATTTGTTGAAGCCTCGTTATGTGTCAGACCAACAGAGAAGGCTATTTCTTGTTGTCTGTTATGGCCTAATTGTTAAGACAATATTGTGTGACAAATAAAACAGAAAAAAGGATCTGTCACATTTACAGTGCAAAAACAGCGTTATTTGTATTTTCAAATAGTTATCTGTTCAGGCGTCAAATAAATATAGAAAATATCTTTTAAAAAGTGTATAAAAAGGCATAAAATGATAATTTTATCACATATTTCTGCTGATAATTTAAGGATGTATATAATGCCTTTGTGCCTAATAAAGACCAACATAATTTCAAACCCACCGCTTCCGTGAAGAGTTGGTGACAAAAGCGCTCCGCTGAATGTGGTGTAATATTCATCAGAGTCTCCATACAGTTTGACATCAGTTCCAGGCCTGGCCTTCACCTTGACAGTATCTCCTTTTTTAAGATGAAGTAAGACAGAATTACCAGCATCGGCGTAAGAACCTACAGTATATCCATAAGACGCTACTACGTATTGGTTGTTGTGGAAAAGTTCAAGCCACGCTTCCTGTTGAGCAATGCAGGAGTAAGTTACTATATTTCAAGTCATTAGTAACTCCCATACATAAAACAACACAAAAACTTTGTTATATCACACAAAAATACACCAACAGCAGCATTAGCATTAGAGCGTCTTTATTTCAGAGGTGAATGGACAATATTTATTTTTAATTACGGCCTTTATTTTTGGCAAGCTCTATTTTTGCATACTCTATGCCTTTGTGGCTATGCATTTATAATTTAAATAAATAGCAAGCGTATGATATGTGTAAATAATTTAAAATAGCAAATGTAGAGGCAGACGGTTAACAAAAGTGGTCATCTGAGGTCGGAGAGAACATACTGCCACTAAATTTCCCCTATTCTACAATGTAGTTTTCTTTGTTGGAGGGTTGGAGGATACAACATCGGTGTATGTTAACCTAGAACATTTCAAAATCTATTGATCCTCCCCTAATCAATAGCATAACGTTTACTAAAATGCCCGATCATTCACAAACATTGCAAACAACCAAATGCCGGTCTTGGAAGCCTAGTGATAATGCGCTCGCTTCTTGATCGGGGGCCTGGGTTTGATTCTCGTCCCAGCAACAGTCAAACTTATGACATATAACATAGGGAATGACTGTTTCTTTACAAAACGCCCGGCTTAAGCATTAAAGATCACAGTTCTTTTGGATATGACCTTAACAACGATGGTCTGGTGTCTGGTTGGCACAATAAAGAATCCTTGCTGTTCAAATGCTGTTGGAACACAGTAAAGGTCTAAGCACTTTACCGGTATTTGAACTCGTCTCATATGAGTGAAAGATTTTTGCAAGGGACGTAAAACAATAATCAATCAATCAATTTAAGTATCTCTTTGTAAGGAAATACACTGTATCACACAGTGCTTACCTCGTCGGAATGGGACAATGCGTGAAAGTGGAAGACATAAGTTCCCTCAATAGGAGCAGTAAATGTTCCAGTGGTGGCGTCATACGCATTACCAACATTGGTTATGACTTTGTCATAAATTACAGCAGACCCATCACTGATAGAGGCGTTCACCGTCATAACTCCAGAAAACCCAACAGCAGCGTAGGCGTTAACAGCGTCCAGTTCTTCGAAAACACAAACAGTAGTATGAATAAAGCCTTATTCTATATATACAAGAACAAAAATATTGACAATGAATTGTGTTTAAGGGAGAAAATTAATGCGGTGAAGACAGTTGTAATATTATGGAAGAAATCAAGGCTATTTAATTAATAAAAACAAGTTTGTTTAACGGATAAAAGTTTGTACGTACTCTAATTACTTGATGAAGTAGATTTACCTACCAACATTATCTGCGTACAGAAGTTCTCCAGTAAATGTTGTGTAAATTTCGTCTCCCTGTCCATATAATGTTTGGTCGTAGTCGTCATGGGCCTTTAAGTAAACTTTGTCACCTGCATCTAAATGAACAATAGCGGCATTTCCCGCATCTGCATAATCAGCATATGTATAGCCATAAACTGAAAATAAAAATATTCAATCTCTTGAATTACAGGTACATTTATTTTTATATGCCCCTTAATCTAAGAAAATATTCTTACTTAGAGGAATATCAAATATAGAAATCATATTTGTAAGATAAAAAGTGCCAAATGGTGATGAGAAATGTTTATATGAAAAAGGTAAATACATGTACAGAAAATCTTACTGGATGCAATCAATTGGTCGTTTTTATACATTTCCACCCAGAGTTCCCAATCCTGTTCAGTGAGACCATAGTATGTGAAAGCATAGAGCCCAGGAGTTTGGCAAATAAAGGTTCCATTGATGCCAAAGTTGGCTCCAATCTCTGTGATTCTTTTGTCGAAAGGAAGGATTTCACCCTTCGTTAAGTGGAGATTTGTTGTCTGACCTTTTGTAAAGGCTGTAGGAGTTTGGACACTTCCGGGATCCTGACCCTGAACCACTAAAATAACAATGTCTTGTGAATTTGCATAGCCGTTTTGTAAACAAATATTCGTCATTCACTGTAATTTTTGTCGCTCTGCATTCATATATTAATTTGTAAAAAGACACTGTAGATTCCCCTTATACAGAAAATCTAAAATCGAGTAATTTCGCTAGAAGCACCACTCGTTTTTATGTTTATATTGCAGAAATTACATATTTAAACTTTTGATCAAAAATCAACTCGCAAGTTTATATTCTTGCGATTTGACGTCAGCGAATTATCTGTGATAATAAGTACTGTACTCATATAAAACAATAAATCTAAGGTATCAAAACGGATTATCAGTGAGAAAGATACTAGGAAAAGTAATTACATGTATCAGATGGATATCGTATTGTTAATATGAGGTACTTACCGACCGTCCCTACCACAAGTAAGAGGCCTATCCACGCTGAGAACATCTTGTTAACTGTAGAGAACACAATTTGCTTCCCAAAGATGTGGAATATTAGTATAAGAGGAATAACATGATTCAAATCATATCCAAATGTTTATCCAAATGTGGATATTATTAGACTTATGATAAATATTTTTACAAGGTTAAAAGAACTTCTACGAAAATATCAATTTTATTAAATGAATAAATGATAATATTTCATTGTTGAGATTATAGAAATTAATCTAAGCTAGCTTCTATAAAACAAACACCAACTTAGCTTCTTAGCTTAGCTTGAATGGCAGTCATTTCAATACATGTATTAAGAACCATTATCAGTTTCTTCTCAAATTTATCCGCAATAATTTTTATTTTATCATAATCATGTCATTTTATGAATTTTTTTATTTTGAAATTTAAATATCATGGAATCTTGACATTGTTCTACAAAAATGCTTGCATTTACACATTATTTTAATGTCCAACACAACGAAGACTTTAAACATTACCTTCACGACCTTCTCTAAATTGACTGCCCCTCTGACGGAGTATAAAACAAGATATGCAGTATCCTTGAACTCCGTATAGATAAGACCTCATGGAACTAAGTCATAATGACTGCACTTTTACTACCATTCCCTAAAATCAAAGGTATAAAAGCTCTGAAAGTAGGACAAAAGATATACAGATAAAAGTGTCTTCTCAAGTTATAATACCTGGTAACTCGCTATTAATAGACATTCAAAGTTCTAATTCTTATTACAAAGAAAAATATCTTGTAATCACGGGAATTCTTTTTTTCTTTCTAAAGGCACTGATTTAATGTTTTACTCTTTGTTCATTGTCATTGAAATTTAAAAAGAATGGTCCGAAGTATGAAATTTGTTGACCAACTGATTAAGGTCAAGATCTAGTAAATGAGTTTAGACTTTCTTCTTGGTGCTAGATTCATTATGACGTCATAATTGATTTATACTTAATTTTTCCCGTACTTTACGGCTTCAATAGAATTATGTAGAAACTAAAGCACTTACATGGAATTCAATTTGAAATCATGTCATATGTAACCCCGATACCCTTATTCAGTTTAATATCATTTTAAAGTAGAGATCAAGAAGATATGAAAAACCGTTTTCTGAGAGACTGTAGGCAAAATTGATACATTTCCTTTGTCTGAGATGGAAAAAACCTCCCATATTTATACCAGACTTTCTTCATTTTTCATTGAAAATGGGCAGTTTATAATATGTTTTTCCGATGAGTTTACCCCAAAATTATGTCTGGGTACACCTTATTTTACCAAGCTATATTCGTAAAGGATCATTCAAAGAATGTGTATCTCAAATTTGAGAAATCTGTGGGCACCTGTCATTCACTAGATCTTGACCTTAAGATGTATTTCTTATTAGGATAAATCATAAGAAATCAGGAAGTATGTACGGCTTTTAATAGCCTTCATTTGGACCTTTGTAAGGCGAGGTGATGGGGTACACGGACGGCGGCTCTTCTTGAGTCAGAAATGAATCTTTTGTCGTTCAAAAAGGTGACCAATCTCATTTATCCCATAAACCGTGAAAAGTGAGAGCAGGGCCACAATCACGGAGCCCTGGAAAAACCAGAGGTTATTTAAGAATTATCAAATGTTCTATGTATATATTATAGGGGTGCATGGAAAAATTATTTTACATTTTTTATTTCTGGAGACTAACAAAGTTACAATTAGTCAAATAAGTTAAAAGCATTCTATGAAGTGCAGTTTTAATTTTGTACAAATCATGTAACATGAAGCTACGTTGAGGCCCCAGCACTGGTTCAAAATATTACAGAACTATATTATTTTTATTTAAGAAAAGTTAAAGAATTCCTCTAGAGCATAAAGATTTAAATGAAATATATGGAGATAACGAACAGTATTCAAGCTCAAAAGTCCATTAAACAATACAAAATAGGAGCAGAGTAAACACGGACCTCCAAAACATCAGAGGTGGGATCAGGTGCCATGAAGGAGTAAGCATCCCCTGCCGACCGGTCACACCCGCCGTGTGCTCCTTGTCATGATCGGGAAATAACGGAAAAATCCATCGACAATTCAGAGTGTAAATAATGGCCTAACAATTAGTATGTCAGTCAGCATTTGACTCAACGATAAATTATATTTGCTGACAAGGTCATTGTATCGACCATAGAACTTACGAAATGATGACTTTAAACGAGACTGCTGATATTCTTGTTTCAACAACTAGTTTGTCAATAATTTACCTCGTTTTAGAAATTGTACATACGTAGAGCATGCTCTTGCGTATCGAATTAACTGAGAGATAAAAAAAAAAGTATGCAGGTGATGAAGGTATATTGCTGCATAAGTAAGGGAAGTTGACAATTGAAAAGTCAAAGTCATAAAGTTTATGATAAAGTTTTGTTGTTACGTTGCCATTAACGTCTTTTTCTAGTAAAATATCCAAATATGAAACAGATGTGTCAGACTCTGTGGTATCTTTTATCTCAAGCTCACCGGGATATATCATATCGACAAAAGAATGGAAATAACCATTGTTAATTGTCAATACGTCGTCGATATATCTAAATGTCGAGTTGAAGGCCACAGCAAGTGTTTTCTTCTTTCCATGTATAAGATTTTGGACAAATTCTGCTTCATATGAATACAAATAAAGGTCTGCTAATAACGGGGCGCAATTGGTACCCATGGGAATTAAATGTTAAATAATTTTCAAACACTCCCATATACGAGGGTTGTCCCAAAATTCCGTAAACTGAGTTCATATCTATTGCAGAAATCAACATATCTCAGTATAATTTTGTAGGTGTATAAAGTGTGTTTTAAGCTTATAAATTTCGAAGTTTTAACATCATTACTACCTTGTCCTACCATCCGGCGCAATCTTCGACGTCAAAAATACGTAAACGTCACCGGTACGAATTTTTGGAGGAAATACAATAATTATCAGAATCACATTTTCTACTTTAACGTAAAAATTTATGAAATAAATATGAAATATTATAATTGTTATGATGTACTTAACATTAAAATATACGCCAAAAAAGTTTAAATTGCATGCATCTATTGATAATTCATGAACATTTCCTGTATCTTCGAGGGATTTTTCTTTCGTCTTTCCTAATGGAGTTGCACTCTGTAGCTTTGACGACGATTTCTTTGTCGATTTCTTTCGGCTGGTCTCTTTCCTTGCTTCGTTTTCAACATATACCTTGGAAAACTGTTTATGTCATTCAAATAACATAAACTTCAATATATCAATGTGATTCAAACATTTGTGTCTTCTAATGCACCTCAACTGGGTGCTAAATTAAAGTTCCGAACTACATTTTATCATAATTCCATTGCGCCGCCTGTGTCAACGCGGCGTCACTTTTTTTAAACAGTCAAGTGTCTAACCAGTGCAAATAAACGTTATAAAATTCTTATTAATGAAGGCATATGCGTTGAAATTGGAATAAAGATACTTATTCATGTCATTTGAGAAACTATCATTTTTATCCCAGGAAATTTTGACAAGAAATTTCTTTTTTGCGAGATTTTACATTTTATATACCGATTTTTATAGCAAATTTTGAGATTGCGCCTCTTTACATCAGACATTGAATTATTTCATTTAAATAGCATAAATCTGTGTAATTACGCAATTTTTTACATTAAAAATATTAGTTGTTAGTAGTTTTAGTTATTTTGAAAGTTTCATTAATGTATGACACTGGGTTACCACAAAACGATGCTTGTCTACGGAATTTTGGGACAATCCTCGTAGGTAAGATTGAGGTTTGTTTGCGTAGTTATGCCTAAGGCTAGGATGAGATCAAAAGAACCTGTATCATGAATTTTTACATTACAAGGCAAAGGAATAGTACATCGAGTCATATTTGTGGCCATCGGCTCATTGATTAATTAATTTCATTTGGCATTCAATCTTACCATATACTCTTATTTTTTACTTTAAAAATTCCACATAAGTTCCAATCTTCTATTCTTTTTTGAAGAAATATCTATATAATTAAATGAAGTTTTCATTTATCAAAACACTCTTCTGACATGGCTATAATTATCTATGCATCATAAACATACGGAATTTCATACGAAATACGGAATTTCCCAATATGAGAACTAACGTAAAATCAGTGATGCGAAAGTTTTCTTTTCATTACAACTTAAAGGTCACTGCAATTTACGCATTATAAAGATTTGTTATGCTAACTTTAGGATTGTGAGTATACTTTCAGGGTTTGCCTTTGATAATTCATCCCACAATGAAGGGTATACGAGATTAATTCTAAATAAACATTGTTGTTACTTTTTTATGAATTAAGGTGAATTAACGACTAGGGATTGTTATCTTATAAAGATTAGACATAATTATACGCAAATTTATACGAGGTTCATCAGAAAAACGATTGTCTTTTATGTTCAGTGTTTTTGTTTTTTGTTCTGTCCTTAAGTAAAACATATGATGTGGAAATCCATTGAATTGATAGATACACGTTAGAATTATACCAGATGATGTCTGTAAAAAACGAAAAGATATAAGGGAAAGTGAAGCATTAGACTTTAAGATTTTTTTTGCAGGCACTGGTGAGTTTTTCAATTATTTGCATGATGAAGTATTTATGAAACCAGTCAAGTATTGAAATTGGAATGATGATGTACAATGTATATGGTTGCTGAATTGTAGAATGTACATGACGTCAACGTTTCGGATTACAAGTATTGTGCTTATGTCTGCGCTGGTGGAAAGTCAATACAATAAAACAAGTAACTATAGTAAACTAATATGCATTCGATTTCATAATTGCATTTTCTGAATACCATGATCTAACTGTTCTGAAATTCCATATTCTCTCTCTCTCTCTCTCTCTCTGATTTGCTGGGGTCTGTTTTACAAAAGAACCTAAGAGTAAGACTAAAAACCTAAGTAAATTGTAAAATTTTGCAAAATAAATTTTCTGTTTAAAATTGCTGGGGTAAAATTATCTTTCTATATTCCTTTAAAAAAGATAAAAATCGTTTTAAATTTAATGTAAATGAAATATGGAGATAACGAACAGTATTCAAGCTCAAAGTCCATTAAAACAATACAAATCGTGAGTAAAGCAAACACGGATCTCCAAAAACAGAGATGGGATCAGATGCCATGGGGAGTGAGCATCCCCTGCCGACCGGTCAGACCCGCCGTGTGCTCCTTGTAATGATCGGTAAATAACGGAAAAATCTGTCGAAAATTCAGTATGTAAATAGTGGTCTAACAATAAGTATGAAAAACGTCAGCATTAGACTTAATGATAGATTGTTTTTGCTGAGAAGGTCATTGTATCGACCATAGAACTTACGAAATCAGGACTAACGAGATTGCTGATATTCTTGTTTCATCAACTAATCATCAACTCATCATCAATAAGAAAGTTATCAGCAGAATTAAATTTTAGTCTTAGTCGTAAGTTCTTTTGTAAAACGGGCCCTGTATACTATTTCAATTCGTTCAAATTTTCTTCATGTTATTTTTCAGTATTTGTTTCGAAATTGACATGTGAATCAAATTCATTATACCACTCCGTTGACATAGGCTATAACTACTATCTTATCTGGAATGGAACATACTTGCCAGCTGTCAATAGAGGATGCAAGATGATGTTTGAACCAGAATTAGATAGTAAAATCTGTGTTGAAGTTATTGAGTTTAACATAGAGGAATGTGGCATGTGCGTTAACTACTATGATGAATGGTTCTTAGATAATGTGAGATATCAATTTACGATATAATAACCTATAAATAACATTAATTTTTCAGACGGAGTTTTCCCCAGCAATAATCCATATTAAATTTGTATTATGTTCTTTTATGAAATCAATTAATCTTTATATTATTGATATAAATTCGTTTTATTTAAGAGTTATGGATGTAAGGACACTCCCTCGAAGTATTGTCATAGTTTTGGAGAAATATATGTGGAACTATTAAATGGTAAAGTTGCTGACAAGACTCCGAAAAAAGGAACATCAAATGTTTTTCGTTTGAAAATATACGCTCAGAAAGACACTTTCTACAAGGACAAAGATAATCATATCAGTTCTAGTAAGTATAGATTCATTTTTCTATTGCTGTACATTTGTATTTGAACGTAAAACGCAAGCGCGGGGAATCGAATTTTTTCCACTTCTGACAGAACAATTTCAATAATATATATTATTATATTTTCAACATGGAAATACTGTGATTTATTCATTGAATAAAAGTGATATTCTCTCTTAGTGTGAAAGGATACCAAAGTGATATTCTGTCACAGTTTGAAAGGATAAGTAAGTAAATATAATTTCTGGGTTGTAATAAGATTGAGATAGTAATTAAACCATCTTGATAGGGACTAAAACTGCAAATTTCTTCCCAAATATGTTGCTAAAATCCATGTTACCATGTTTTCAATCTCACAACTGTTAAGCTATGACGTCTCAACTACTCAACTATGACCTATGTCACAACTGCTCAACTATAACCTATGTCACTGTGTTAAGAAAAGACAGAGGCAAAGGGAAAGTCAAAGAAAATGCAATAAAAAGAAAATTCAATGTTCATATGTTGGATATGGAATTTATTTCACTCGTGAGACAGAGGATTTTTCGATATTTTAACTCGGGCTTTGCACTCGTGAAAATATAGAAAAAAAATCCGGGCCCACTCGTGAAATAAATTCCATATCCAGCTACAAAACATAGAATATCTTCTATTTTTAGTTTCTACTGACAGTTAATTACAGGCTTCTAGCAGGAAGAAATACTATGCTCAAAATTCTGCAGTTAACTTTAGAGCATAAGTAGATATACACCTTTCCCCAATCCCCATTTTTGTAAAAAAAAAACTGAAAAATGATACCTGTTATACTATTTTATTATAGATATGGTACTTCGCGAGCTTTTATTCCATTTCCAATAAAGATAAAAGAAGCAAATATGAACATTTTACTGAAAAAAATTTCAGCACAGTTTATGTTAAATTAACTTTTAACACCTTATTTATAGGCCTAGTATTTAATACAAGACTGTATTTAGGGAAAAAAAACCTAATGACATGTATTGATTAAAGCACAAATTGTTAACAACTTTTGTTATATTTGAACAATACCATATTCATTAATTGACATGTAAGCAAGTTTATTATGAAATACAAATTTTACTTTGGGTTCGTTGCCATGATGCTCTCAGTGGCGAATATGCACATTTTACTGATAAATTTATTAGCACAACCTACTAATAGTCTTTCGATATATAAATATATTTTCAACTTACAGTTTTATAAATTGCTTTATCATTATTTCCATGCTCATTCACACCAAAGTTTTTTTTTTATTCATGAAGTGATAATCGCCTCGTTTTTCTTTTTAACATCGGGCTTGATGCCATATGATGTTCTAGAAATTTCCGTCAGGATTAAGATCGGTGAATTACGAAAACGATTTGCAGATTTTCCTTTTTAATCGGTTATAAAAACTTCTTTTTTATATCACTTAAATGAAGTTTTGATTGAATAATTCAGTGATGACGTTTTAAATAATAAATAATTGATTGCTTGTTGTCAGTTTCATTAAAATTGCAAGTAACGTAGATCAACCAACCGTTACCACCGCCGTACTCTCTTATTTGCTATTTCAGGGCTGTTTATCAAAAATGAAAGTAGACTTTTCATTTAATTTACGATAATTACTATGCGAGTGAAGTTAAATGTAGTTTACGGACAATACCCCATACCTAAGTGTAAGTATGAACTCAGGTGCAGGCGTTTCCGAGTTAATTTGCAACATAGATTAATTTATAAGTATAGCTGTTGCAATTAAAATTTAAGGAATTACTGTCTAGTTTGTTGACACGTATTGGATAATTTATCACACGTCTCCATCTGACTTTAATGCTCACTTGAATAATGAGGGCCCTGTTCTTCATCAGAGTTTTTCCTTAAAAATTCCTCTTTGAAAATTTGACATTGTGGCCCCATCCAATCCTGAGGGTCAGGATTTGAACAATCTTGAAACTACACTACCTGAGGATGCTTTCATATGAATATGACTTTTCATGCTTTGTGGCCAGAACCTACGTCTGGGGGTCATGATTTACACAAATTTAATAATTTAATAAAGCTTTTGCATAAGTGTAAACTTTTCTCCCTGTGGTTCTTAGTTAAGAATTTTTGATAGGTACCATTAAATTTTTGCTAAATAAATTCTTAATTATCTTTTCTTGAAAAAGGATTTGGCCCTTCATTTGAACAAAATTGAATTCCCTTTACCCAAGGATTTTTGTGAACATTTTTATTTAAAATTGTTCCAGTGGTTCTTGAGAAGTTGCGGACGGACGAACAGACAGGCGGGTTCCAGACAAATGAGTTTTCAGCTCAGTTGAGCTAAAAAGAACGTTTACAGTATTTTGAACCGAGCAGTGAGGATTGTGATTCGTATATCAGAATTAAAGGATAAATTTCTGACGACAAATGAACATTTTATTTTTGTGAAAACACAAAAGACCTCATTTTACGTAAAATTAGTAAGTCATAAAACTCTCAACTCGAATAAGATAAACAACAGAAAATGATAATGAAAAATTAGATAAGACCTTGAAAACAAAGTTGGTCTTTACAGGGTTATTGTAAGGTATATGTAGATCAGCAAATTTTGAATTGTTTCAAAAGGGATTTCGATTAATATATTTTGTTAAAGAGTATAATATCAGACAAAGGCTTTCTTTGACAATATGTTAATTTGATAATTGTTTGATAATTGAATCTACACAACATAGGGAAGCTTGCATATGAATACGAGCAGATGTGCCCCCTTCCCCTTGCTGATCTTGAGAAAATTTTAATTTTTTAAAAATATTTTGCATATATAAACTCATATATATCTTTGATCTCAAGGTTTGCCTCGTCCTAGCCATGAAGACTTAACTATCTTAACAAAACATGGGATGGCTACCTTAAAAAAATTCAATCGTTTGCTTCTTTCTCATCAAGGATATCTTTAAAACATTTTTTATATATTTTTGTGATAAAACATCTACCCTACATATTGCGATTTTGAATTTACACTATATTCAATATAACTGCAATTTTCGTACTGTGGCTCTGCTGTTACTTGAGAAAGAAATTCCGTATGTCCTAAAAAATATCCCCTTTTTAAGGCTTGTCCTAGCCAAGGAAGCCTTGTTTATAACAAAGTCTTAGGGATACATAAGTTAACTAATTTTAGGATTGCCATTCCTAAAAAGAAGATTATATATCTCTAGAATAACCACATTTCCTTGGAAAGTTCTATAAATGTTAAAAGTTAATTCCATTAATTAAAGTCATACAAGACAAAAACATAGAATTGAGATTATTTCATATCTAGTTATATTTTGTTTTATTATAAATACGCATAGGGCTCAACTGGAACGATATCATAAATGTGAAAAAGGAAAAAGGGTAAAATTTCAAGTTTTGTACCAAGATTTAGACTACTTATACTGTAAAAAAAACAATGTCAGGCAATGATATTGGTAACTACGAGGGTTGTCCCAGAAAAACGCGAACATTTTCAATATTTTTGTTTCACTAATATTATAAAGCTAAAAATTGGCATGCATTAAAATCAACTTTTTTTAAAAAAAATAAATCACAGAAATTTCGGTAAAATATCTCTACAAATAACATTTTTCTCTTTAGTAAACGAATCATTCAAAATAGCTGTCACATCAACACGCAACACCGACGCTCGCGGAGTTTTTGAATTTGTTCAGGAATTGCGCGTATTTACAAATTCGTTCGAAGCATACATTCGATACTGCATTTAACTTTTTTTAGTTACCGAGTTATCCATTTCACGCGCACTACAGTTTAGAATACATCAAGGAATAATTTTTTTTTAATAGACAATTTCCCAACCCCAATCATAAACCTAACTGCTCAAACACTTAGCGGTGGTTTCCACGTTTGACGTCCAACTCTATAACCTTTTCAGATTGTCGTCATTTTTGTTGGTCTACCAAACACGTCTTCCATCGGATAACTAATCCATTCATCTTTGAACCTCTTTTACTATGTATAAACCTGTAATCGATACATGTATCCATGTCGTTTCTTCGTTCCCAACTCTTTTTCCATATTAACAGTCAAGCCCCGCCCCACACAGTGCTGGGTGATAATTTGGTACTCCGCATTATCGCTCGTCGTCGCCGTTTTTGGCAATATCTTATTAATAGTGCTTGTGCATAGAACGTTATATTTTTATTATATATGATGTTAGAGCATTGATTTTTAACAAAGAGGTACTCCAGATCTTAACGTTTCTAAAGATATGATTTTTGGCACATTATATTTCCGTATAACCTGGTAATAAAGAAAACATTACTATCAATGTTATTTTTAAAAGTCAAGAGATTGCCATGCGCCGACCACCGATATATAACAACCTTTAAATGTTTTTTTATAAATGCAAATGGCATTGGAACCTTACTTTATTTAGCCAAAATGACAAAAATATCATTTCCCAGTCTTATGCCAAAAATAAATAATTTTGGTCTGGAAGTTCTTGAAATATTAAAAAAACTTCGCTTTTTTCTGGGACAACCCTAGTATAAGCCCAGGAAATATTTTTTCTCGACACTTGTACTGTGTTACTCATGTTTGTTTTGGTAACACTGTACGTTGTTAACAATTGTATCTTTGTAAATTGGGTCTTACTAAAACATGTTTATCTCCATTGTTCTAAGATATATCTTCCATTTAAGCTCTTACCTTTTTTTTATTTGATTTATTTTGCTTTGTTTTTTTTTGTTTTGTTTTGTTTTGTTTTTGTTTTTTTTTTTGTTGTTTTTTTTTTTTTTGTTTTTTTGTTTTTTGTTTTTTTGTTTCTTGCACGCCGAGTAAAAAGAAAATGATTCTTTATGAAATATAATTCCTTCATGATCGAGGGGCTTATTGAATTTGATGAATTTGTTTTATTTTCGAAGTTTTATTCTACTAGTTTTGTAATAAGAAATTTTCAAAAGTGTGGGGGAGGGGGGGTGGGGTGTTTAACTGAAAAACAAATCATCATTTAGAAACACATAAATATATTTCTCTTACACCATGCAAAGGGGTTTTAATCATAAAATATCCAAAGCAGGATTAATTGGATAAACAGCAAATCAATTGATTGGAGAAGCAGCAAATTATAAGAGAGAATTTAATTCCAGATTTCCTGATCATTTGCCTTGTTGCCGTAGTTGTTGTAATCATTGTGATTCACGTTGCATGCTTCTTCATTTGCCGAGGTAAAAGGTCCCAAGGGTTCGTGTTTCAAAATTCTGAGATTCCACATACACGCTTGGACGAAACATCTACTAATTTAGGTACATGAAATGCTTTCATTAATAAAGATTAAAAATTAAAATATATATATATATATATATATATATATATACGAGGGTTTTCCCAGAAAAACGCGAACATTTTCAATATTTTTTGTTTCACTAATAATATAAAGTTTAAAATTGGCATATACCATAATTAACATTTTTGAACACTGACGACGTCAAAACGTAGCTCGTGGCGTTTGTGAATTTATTATGGAATCGTGCTTCTGATTTAATTCGACTCTGTACTTAATTTTCTTTGAGTTACGAGATTATCCATATTAGATATTAGCGTTAAAAAAAGATCGTGCAATTAATACCCGTATTAGAAAATTTTCCAACCCCGTTCATAAACCTAACTGCTAGTATAGTTGAAAGGCTGTCGCCAAGTATGACGCTCAGCTCCTGACTTTTCAACTTGTCTTTATTTCTGTTGTTCTACTAAACACTTCTTCCATTAAATAACCAGTCAAACCTCGAACCTCTACAACTAGGTATAAATCTATGTTCGAGACGTATGTGTCGTTCCATCGTTAACATCTCTTTTCCCGTATGAACAAGAGCCATATCCCGCTCAGTAAAGTACTGCTTGATAGATAATTTGGTACTCCACATTATCGCCTGACATCACAATTTTTGACAATATCTAACTAAAAGTGTTTTGGCATTTAACGCCATATTTTTGTCATTTGTGATGCCAAATTAAAGAATTTTTACACCTGAATACTCCAGAAAATAGAGTTTCTACGAAGGTAATTTTTTAATATTATATTTCCGTATTGCTTGGTAATAAAGAAAACTTCATTGACAATTTCTAAAACTTAAAACATTGCCGTGCGCCTACCACCGATATTTGACACACTTTTAATTCTGTTGTTACATGAATATGACATTACAATATAAAAATATTTTGTCAAAATAACGAAAATATTACTTCCCAACAGAGTGCAAAAAATTATTAATTTTTGTTGAATAGTTTTTGAAATATTTAAAAAGTTCGCGTTTTGTGAGACAACCCTCGTATATATAGAATACAATTTACTTATTGTAAACTGAAGCAGATTAATTGCCCTTTTTGAATGACTAGATGGATTTTATAAAGTAGCGAGTTGTTGTTTATTTGTCGACTCAATCATAACAAATGGAAATTTAGGTAGATTTTCACTGAACATTTCATTTCGTTACATATGATATACTGTTTATTGTTTGATTTTAGATCCTCCACAAACAATTCTTAACCAGCCGCCTTGCAACACAAACAACGAGGAAATGACAACAGAAAACCAAGATACCGTTCCTATTGTATTACATGAATATGAAGTCTGCAATGCTTGAACTATTCCAAGTGCTAGTAAATGAGCCAGGTCACGATATGCGTAAAATGATTTTTTGTATAGATTCATTGTTTTATTTGAACATATTGTGTAAAATATACAATTGTATTAGGCAGCGGACATTGCCTGTATAAACCTTCTCAACAGACCATTGACCCATCTATGAATTGTTCAGATTTGTTTTGTGTACGTATGTTGCCACCACTATTGAAATAACGACCACTATTGAAATAATTATTTCAATAGTGGTCGTTATTTCAATAGTGGTTGCAACATACGTATCTTTTTTTCCATATTTTTAACTACTCTTCTAGTTATCAGCTATACGGTAGTTAGTATGTTAAGACACCTTCATTTGTAATGCTTCACTTAATCGGTATGACTTATTTGATATGTACTAGGAGACTACTTGTTCATGCATTCAATCCTGAGACGTTAATAAAGTGTTAAAAGTTTTTTTTTTCTTAATTTTATCCACGCTTTGCTTTTCCTTATTACAGTGCATTCACATCTTATTTGTACATGGTGGCTGTAACCCGATGAATAATATACAAGGTCCCCCGCATAACCCAGCAAGCATTTAATAAATCCTTAAAAGTTTTTTTGCCTAAAAAGGTTGACACGACAAAAATAGTCAAATTGCAAAGTCTTATTTGACAAAGTAATATATTTCAGAAAGAACACTATTACTGTTTTAGCACTGTTTGTTATAATATTAATATTGGATCGATAAGTGTCTATGATTTGCATACAATATGATTTCAACATAAAGAAGTGAAAGTTAACAAAATTGAAATAAGATTTTAAGTTGATTTTAGTACTATTATTATTATTATTACTGTATTTGTATACCTTTACTCCAAAGAGAGTCTTAATTTGATGAAGATATATGGCATTACTTTTATAGCTCTATGGCTGGGGTCTGCATTTCCCGCTCCAGTATAAGTGTGGATCCGGAGTGTCAATATAACTAATCTAACACTGTTCAAAGTTTTATTAGGAGAACCGTCAGGGTAGCTCAGTCATCGGTATATGGTGACGTCTCTATATGAGTGAAAAATTCTCGAATCGGACATAAAACAACAAACAATCAATCAATCTTATTAGGATAGGAAGACCCGATACCTAAGTTTTAAGCTCACCTGAGCCGAAGGTTCAAGTGAGCTTTTCTGATCACATTTTGTCCGACGTCCGTCTGTCTATCTGTAAACTTGTCACATTTTGACTTCTTCTCAAGAATCACTGAACCAATTTCAAAAACCAATCTTGTCACAAAGTATCCTTGAGTAAAAGGAATTTAAGTTATTTTTCGAATTAAAGGCCACGCCATCTTTCAAGGGGAGATATTTACGAATTAGTTAAAAAATAATGGGTTCTTTTAAAAATCTTCTACTCAAACCCCTGGGCCAGGAAATATTAAACTTATGTGAAAGCATCCACGGATAATGTAGATTCAAGTTTTTACAAATCATGACTCCCAGGGGTAGGGTGAGACTACAGTCGGCGATCAAATTTTTACATAGGAATACATAGGGAAAATCTTGATAACCTTCTTTTCAAGAACAGCAAGGCCTCGATTAGTCATATTTAAATGGAAGAATCATCAGGTATTGTTGAATCAAGTTTATTCAAATTATGAACCCCGGGGGTAGGGTGGGGCGACAATGGACGATCAAAGTTTTATATAGGAATACTTTTGAAAAAATCTTCAAAAATCTTCTCAAGATCTACAAAGCTAATATTGGACTTTTGCGAGAAGCACTGACTTTTACAATCGACGGCTTACTTGGACATTCAAACCTGCCTAATGTACGGAGGTACTGAATTGATAATAGACATAAAAACCTGAGTAGTGGTTATAGGTATGTTGTTAGGATCGCTTACATGATTAACTTGTATGCAATAAACGCAAGAGATAATGGGAGGCAGAATAACATAACTTAAAATACCTTATTTGTGAAGAGAGGGGATTGAGGGTAGCGTGGTTGCCGTTCCCTTTCCAGACAACGTAATATGTGCTTTGAAATGGCCCATTATTATAGTTTAATTAACTGTTAAGCTTAATATTTATATCGCAAAAGAGCTTCCGTATGTTGTCATAGTGTAAAAGTAAGCCGTCGATTGTAAAAGTCAGCTCTTCTCGCAAAAGTCCATTGGTAATATTTGTATGGAATCATCATCAGATAGTGTAGAAACAAGTTGTTCAAATCATTACCCCCGGGGTGGGATAGCGTCATAATGGACGATTTAAGTTTTACATAGGAATACACTGATTTTTTTTTCAAAACTCTTCTCAAGAACAACAAAGCTATGATTATATTTCATATATATAATATATATATAATATATCGTATTTATACAGAAGCACCCTCAGGTAGCATAGATTCAGGTTTGTTCAAATCATGACCCTCAGGAGTAGAGAGGGGCTAAAACAGGAGATTAAGGTTATAAGAAGAATATAAAAGATATGTCAAAAAAAAAATTGTTATCAAGAACAGCAAAGCCATTATTAGCCATGATATTAATTCAGAAGCATCCTAAGGTAGTGTAAATTCAATGTGTTCAAATCATGCCCCCTGGGGTAGGTGAAGACCACAATAGAAGATCAAACGTATAGGAAAAACTCTTTAAAAATCTAGTAAAGCCATGGTTAGTCAAAGAAATATGCAAGCATCCTCAGGTAGTGTAAAACTCAAGTCTGTTTATATCCCCAAGGACCACTTTTATAATAAAACTGTTTAATTCTGAACTGATTTTTGCTTTTTCCTAGCCAAAGTGCTCAGATGAGCGATATGTGGCCCATGGGCCTCTTGTTGTTAGGATGTGTGAGCAATCCCCTTGTCAATAAAATATATTTTAAACAATAGCTCTGTCTCCATATTCCTCTGTATTTGTAATCAGAAAAGAAGGGATAACTCCAGCCTTTACATCGGCTTGAACGTGATGGAATTACTCTTCTCAAAACAGGATTTTGCCAGGAACTTTAGTCAGCCAACATGGAAACAGGGAACCAAGATTCACCCTGGCACTAACTATAAAGGGTTTGTCAAAATTGGGGGGGGGGGGGTGATAATGACCTTGTAATTAGACAAAATGAAAGAATGTTCGTGTATATTGCTTTTTTATGGGTCATTGTGATAGTCATTATCACCCCCCATATTGCCAGGAACTTTAGTCGGCCAACATGGAAACAGGGAACCAAGATTCACCCTGGCACTAACTATAAAGGGTTTGTCAAAATTGGGGGGGGGGGTGATAATGACCTTGTAATTAGACAAAATGAAAGAATGTTCGTGTATATTGCTTTTTTATGGGTCATTGTGAAAGACCGACTGTAAATTCCAATTTATAGATTTGCTGGTCTATGGAGTGGAGCTATTGACTGTAAATCTAAATTCAGCGGAACAGAAAATGTTATTTTTTTGTTACGAAGATCTTTTCATTATTTTTCAGCAATTTGCAAACTTATTCATCTCCTTTTGAATTTGAATACGAATTCCAAGAAAGCGCCGTTTTATTAAATTTGATCTCCTCTAAGATGTAACCCCCTTTTTCAACAAACAAAATATTTCCAAATTGCGATTATCTATGAAAATAGCCGTTTCCTCGGAAAGTTGTATTTGCTTAATAAACAAATATACGTGCTACTGCCTTTAAATCAATGAAGTTTTAAATAAGCCAGTTGAACAGGCTTTGTTCCGAGTTCAGTTGTAATTTTGTGAATAACAAAATTTTACTTGCATAATTAAGGTTGTATAAATCTAATATAAAATCTATGTAGTTTGAATTTAGAACATAAATTTCATTTTTCTTTGTGATGGTGGTGGATGGGGAGGGGAAGGGGTGGTTGTTGTTTGCTTCTTTGTTCGCTTAACTTCTACTAATTTGATTAGAAGATAACCTTAAAACAAAAAGTGCATCCGTTTTAAAATGTTTCATTTTCAGAAAAAAGTAATGTAAAAAGAAAAAAAAGGTTTACATTTTCATCAAAAGTTAGGCATTTCATTTTTGATTTATTTTAATGATATGAGGATGTGTTTAATTACTGAAAATAGTATATAAATCTTTCTATGCACGGAATTATTAATATGAGTACACCATGTACATGAATATGCTTGTTGATGCATTAATGCAATTTACATTCTATTTAGACTCAAGAAAGTTAAGCAAGAAGTTTTAAAAAGTAAAACTTTAAAACCGTCAACTACAAAACATGTCTTACCTAAGCTGAGGTACATTTTTTTTTTATTTAAAGACCCATTTAAATGTCGGTAGAGTCTATAACATAACCCAGTCACGGTTTCCGGGAAAATTATTTCCGGTATGGTTTTCAAACGTACAATTTGCTTTAACACCGAACCCGATTGTATTTTTCGTGACATTGAGGCGGGAAATCCAAGTAAGGAAAAGTTCGAGGTATTGAATGCCGTTATCCTTTCATCTCAGCAACTGTATGAAATGGGTAAAGAAACAAGGTAAGAATGTTGTATGAAGATAATTATGATATAGTGAATATGCGGTATTCAAGAAATTCTCAACACCTGGATAAAGTTTTGTAAAGATATAATCACTGATAATACCCGGATTCAATGAGAGAGGATGCCAAATTTAGTCGAGTGTTAACAGTTGGTTTTTTTTTTTATTATTATTATTTTTTTCTTATCCATAGTGACAGTTGGAAAGATCTGTTCGATGGAAAATCAACATCACTATCTGGGTATGTGACATTTTCCACAAAATTGGACAAGTTGTTACAGGAGTATGATTATGCAACTTCCTCTAGGTTCCCTGTTTAAAAAGTTCCAAACAATTTGGAAAGGATGTTGGTAAGGTCTTGATGCGATATTTTATTTTTAAATGCAACTTTAGCAAAATAATTTCTTGAATCTTCTCATTATTGTAACCATTTTAAGCTCACCTGAACCATAGACTCATGGTGTCGGGTGGTTACATTTTGATTCCGTGTTTGACCTGCATGGTTACGACCTATTAAGTGGTTTT